AGTTATATCAGAAAGAATGAGTTAAAAAATATGGACTGTCAATTCAGTTATGTATGAAATGAAAGAATTTAGTATTACAGTTTAAAATACATTTACAAACTCAGAATTTGGTCATTTCACTATTTAAATAGTTCCAATTAAAGTTCCATTAATTATAGAAACACCTAAAAAAAAAAAGAAAGCTATGTCGATGACAGAAAAGAAAAAAGAATCAGACAATGAATTAAAAGAAAAACAAAGGTTAGATAGATTGACTTCAATTGAGTTTCCTTCAGCTTTCTTCTGTAAATAAGAGAGTATTAGATTAAAAAGAGGAGCTTAATATAATTTACCAATGTAATTTTTACCTACTTAATTACATTAATAAAAATGCATGGTAGTATTTTAAGATAACTCAGTTGGTGAGTTTCAATATGAAATTCATGGTAATGTACAACCTCCAGAAGTTTTATATGATCTGAAACCTGATCTTCAAGTTTATATAGATCAAGTAGCTTCTTTTTATCATCATGTTCCATTTTTTAATCCTTAATTAAAGACAGCCTTGAAGTAAGTAGATTAACTCACAATTGATAAGAAAAAATTAATAAATCGTTAAAATTCAAATTCAGTCACATTATAGAATAAACCTAGTATTCCTATTGATGATATCTTGTTCTCTGTTTAATTGGAAGAATAACAATCTTACATAACCTGTGAAAAAGTATTTTAATTAATCAACTATTAATAATTATTGCTTAATCAAACCAAAAATTCTGAAGATGAAGAAGATCCTTAATAGCAACTTTAGAAATCTGATGTAAAATAAAATCTAATTTAATTTTCAATGAATTTTAAAACAGCTGTTAAAGATTATATGAGCCACTTTATGTTAGTAAATGAAACTAAAACTGATGTAAGAAGATTTAGAATTTAAATAACCTCTCTTCCAAAACCAATTACAGTTACACTTGAAATGACTATTCCTGCTAGAGAAATAATAACTTAAGAAATACCTATAGTGAATAATACAGATCGTGATTTCAATCTAAAAATTAATTTGGTAGGGGATGATCGATTTTCAATATTAGGTGATGGTTAAAATAAGAGAAGAAAACAAGAAAAAGTGGTAGATCCCAAAGATACAAAAGACAATAGTTAAAAAAATCACAAAGATCAAGATTATCATTAATAAAATATATAAAAAGAATAATTGATAAAGAAGAAATTAAATAATTAACCAACAAATGGTGCAGTTGTAGTTTAGTTTGCACCTGATTGGATTTGTGAGGTCAAAGGAAAATTATCAATAATAAATCCATTAACAAATGATTTCTATGAATATTTGTTGATAGGAAAAGGAGAAGAACCATTATCAGAAGGACATTTTACAATAAAAGCTATTGCTAGATAACCAATTACATAGATAATTCAAGTGAGTAACAATACAAATGATGAATTAAGATATTCAGTTGAAACTGATGTTTTGAATGCTGCTGGTGAACAAGAGATAACAATTTAACCATAAACAACATATGAGTATAAATTAAATATAAATCCAGTAATAAGTGGTTAATTTACAGGATCTATAACTTTTACAGGAAATGGACATTATAGATGGTGGACAATAATGTTAGATATAGCCAATCCTAAATCCTCAGGTACTGTAGATTTAGTTTCTCCTATAAGAAAAGCAATTGCATTTGATATAGAAATTGCTAATCCTTTGCCTGAGAATGTGACATATGAAGTTTAAATTATAGGTGAAGCTTTATCAGGTGATTCTTGGTTTTCAGTTCTACCAGGAGGATCATCAACATATCAATTAGTATTTTAACCACTTCAAGAAGGAAGATGGAAAGGAAGTATTTCATTTTGTCATCCTAAAATGGGTGAAATATGGTATACATTAAATCTTATTGGTGAAGATCGAGGAGGTATTAAAGTACCTTAATTTAAAACTGAATTAGGAAAACTAGATAAATGTGAAATGTTACTTGAAAATCCAACATGCAATTCTATTATTGCAGAAATTGAAAATAGCAATCCTACTAATTTCTCTTTAGAATTCGAAGGAGGTCAATAATTAGTTTTAGAACCTTATACTTTAAAACCTGTTTATGTTGTATTTGTACCTTCAGCTCTTACTGCTCACTCTGGAGAAATCTAAATTAAAACTAAAGAAATCGGTAAATGGATCTTTTTATGTTTCGGAACTGGTGAATCCCCTACTCCTTTTTAAGAAACTACTGTTATTTGTAAAGCTGGACAATCAGTTACTTAGTAGATTGAATTTAAAAATCCTTTAAAAGATTCTTTAACTGTTTAAATGGAAATGTAATAATAATAAGAAGGAATCTTTATCCTAATGATGAAAAGATAAAGAATTACCATTGCTCCTTAATCTAGTTTACTTATACCCTATTAATTCAGTGCTGTAGATATTAAATCTTATAAATGTAATCTTGTACTTACTATGAATGCTTAAGTTAAATGGACTTATCCACTTTTAGGATTAATAGAAAATGAAGAAATTAATAATGTTCATCTTATACAAACAAAGTGTAGAATACCTTTAGTTACTAAATTAAATGTAATTTTAGATGGGTTAAAAAGTAATGAGAAAGTTATGTATAAAATTACAGATATTGAAATTTTAAAGAAACATCTAAAAATTAATCTACTTGATCATCACATCAAAGATGTCACTCACCCTTTAAGTTTTGATATTAGATTTCTTCCATACAAACCTTTTAAATTGTAAACAGAATTACAAGTCAAAGTTGAATCTGGTGGTTTATGGAGGTATCACTTACTATTTAAATAATAGATTTAAATTATAAGTTAATGCACTAGAGCCATAAATTGATGATATCATTATAATAACTTCTGAAATCAATCTATTAAGTAAAGTTAGCTTTCGATTGACAAACAGAATCGAAGAAATTGCTAACTTTAAAGCTTACTTTACACCTGATTCAAATCCAGAATTTACTGTTGAACCTTTAACTGGTCTTTTAGAGCCACATGGTAAAAAAGGGACTGAATTCAAATTGGGCTTTAAACCTAAAGAATATGGAATTCGAAAAGAAGCCAAATTAATTATTGAAACCGATTCAATGTATTGGTATATTTTTTTATAAATATAAGGTCTTATATACTAAGAGGTCATTTACCAAAATATATTCCTCCAACTAATGTCAAAAGTCATGGCATAAATTATGAGCTCAATAAAATTCCTGCTAATAATAATGAAAAGAATTTTTTGATAGAAAATATGAAGAAACCAAATAAACATAAATGATAATTTATATATATTATATTAACTTTTGTTTCCAGAAAATATTTCAATTAAGACCAAAATATAAACATAAATTTTAATATTAGGTTAATTTCTTTATTTTTTTGTTAAATTAATAGTTTTCTCAAATTAATTATAATTAATATATCATAACTTATAATCTTTCTTCTTTGATTTTTATTTTTTTAATTCGAAACCAAACAACCCTATTTTTAGAATAAAATTGAATGCTTAATACATACAATTTCTATTTTTATACTTTCTTTAAATAAATCATATATCACAAAGCAATAACAATAAATGAAAGTTATCACATTATAATTGATTCAACTAATTACTCATTATTCATTGCTTCAATTTTTATTCAACCATATAGGTTTATGATTATAACAAATTTGAACAAAATTTTAAATATAAGGTCCTTAATATAAGGATGGTTAAATTGATTAGGCATAAAAGAATATATTTCATCTTTTATAGTTGTTTTATTCGAAATTAATATATTAATAAATACCAATCTTAAGTAGGAAGATTAAAAATCTCTGAATTAAGTCTGTTGATTATGTTGCTTCTAAAATAAAAATGGAGGAAGTCATTATTTTAAGTTATGCAGATATATTTTAATTAAATGCTTTAATTAATAACCTTAATTTGATCTTTTATTATTAAAATGTTTTAGCTATGATTACTGATATTTTTAACTACAAGGGTTCCTTTAAGTTTAGAATTTTTTTATTTTCCTAATTATTGAATTTCTTATAGAACTAATTAAATATGTTAAATAGACAATTTTAAATATGTAAAATTTTGAGTTTGGGACACTGTTAAATCCTATTGGCATCTAAATTTAATATGTTAAAATACATAAATTGTAATCATGTATTCACATTTAAGCTAAAAAAACATACCTTATTTTTTTTTCTTATTTAACCGCATAAAATTTCCTTAAAGAGTTCTAATTTAAAATTTTAAATCAAAACAAATATTTAATTTTAATGCTGCTCTTCTGAAAAAAAAAAACACACACACACAAAAATACTTCTTAAATACAGTTATTCATCTTTAATGAAGGGAATTAGATAAATCTCAAACTAGAAAAAGTTTTTTATCAAATTGATTTTATGATTAAAAAAATTTATTCTTGTAGTTACTTTTTTATTTTTAAGGAATTTCATTCCTCTGATAACAATTAGGATTTAAAGTATGAATTAAGAGTTTTTAATGTTCTTTCTCTTAATAATAATAATGACATTATACATATTATTTTATCAAAAATTAAAGAGAGAGAGACTCAGCAAATATAATAAAATATATATTACTTATTGACATAATATACATATATTAATTTAAGAATTTTATCATTAATCTTGTACTAAAGTAGTAGAAACAATGGCTTAAATAAAATTCATGAAAAGTTTTATTTGATTACGTTTTTTGTAAACTACTATTTGCTTACTTATCTTATATTTAATGATTATTAGGAATCAGACCTATTGTTATTAATATGAACTAACTTTATTTGATTTTTTAATTAAAAAATTTAGAACCAAACAACTTTCTTTCAAGTCGAATATCTAGCATGAAAATTTATTGTCATTATAACCTCATCATTGAGAATAACATGTACATAATTTCTTAAATTTTTTTCCATTTTATATACGAACCATCTTTATTTTTGTGGTATTTCTGTGAGGTGATTTATTATTTTTTTCATTATTAAATGTTTCATTTAGTATTTATCCTAATAGTTATTTATCAAGTCTATGCTTAAACTAAACTTAAGCTGTAAGGTCCACAACCACTTTATATGGATTGTAAAAACTTCTCAGATGGTATGAAAATTTTTATAAATTTTAAGTGGATAATGGTTTTGTCGGAAATTAATACTTTTATAAATATCTATCTTAAGAAGGCACACTCAAATCTTTAGATTAAATTTCATTTAGTTTTTGGATGATGGTGCATTCTAAGATGAAAATGAGTGGAAGATAAATTATATTTAGTTTTGTTGATGGATTTTCATCAAATCCTGTAATAATTATAATTTATTTAGTATTTAAATTTGATGCTTTATTATAGAATAGAATCAGGTGATTACTATTTAAATTTAATTAATCAAAAAATGACTCCCGAAATTTTAAAATTAAAAATTGTTTAGTATTTTATATGATATTATATGTTAGAGAAAAAGATCTTTTCAGAGATTCATGGAGTCATGTATTTCTTTCAATTGATTAAAAATCTTCAAACAATACTTTCCTTAACCTGAAATTTTTTTCAACTTATAATTTTTAGCTTTTTTAAGTAGTTGACACATTAATTAATGAGAAGTAGATATTGATCTAAATTTTAGACTAATTTTTAAATTTAATGTTCATTCTAGAATAACAAATTAACCACTCCTAATTAATGCACTCACGGATTATAAGGCTTGCATTAACCTAGCAAATTTTGATTATATAAATGGATGGTCATCTATGGACTAAGAAATATATGTAGATTATGAACCCATACTTAAATTTTCATTAAAACCTTATGCATCAGAAGGTCTTATAGTAGATAAAGTTTTTGATCAAATTAATTTGAGACAAAGTACAGTTCCAATTGAATATAGTGGAAATATAGGTTTGAATTTGTATAAGAATACATAGATAGTTTACAATTTCTTAGAAAAATTGTCTTCTTTAACAATAATGTTTTGGGTTAAACCTTAAAATATATAATCTTCATTTTAATTTTTATCTTTAACAGATGATGTTTTATAAGAAACAAGTATAGGGTTTGGAGTTAATAAAAATTATGATCTATTGTTTTATCAAATTTATTCTAAGTCTCCAATTGGGGCTTTGGCCTCCAACACTTGGAAAAAAGTTACAGCTGCATTTTTAGATTTAGGTTTTAATGCAAACTTTGTGCCATTAAATTAAAAAAAAGCAATGAGAATATTTATTGATAATGTCTAAACAAAGTTAGATTTTGTTATGAACATAAAACCATATAAAAGATTAGTTATAGGACCTGTTTTTATGGATGATTATGGATAAGAAGTCATTGACATTTAAGATATAAAAATTTTTTCAGGATATGGAATTATATAAACATTTAATCATGATTGTTAAATGTTGGTTGGCAAGTATTGTGCATTTTGTAAATCAGGCACTCATTATTGTAAAGAATAAGATCCTAATGATGACATTAAAGTTTATAATTGTCCAGCTGGATATAAAGATTAAAATTATGAATGCTCTTAAATTATTATTCCAAATTGTCTCAGAATGCCATCTTCTACATGCGAAATATGTGCAAAAGATTATCTATTAACAAACGGATAATGTTTATCAACTAATTAAAGTGTTACATCTCCTTTCGCTTGTTAGGATCTTAATGCACAATTTTGCTCAATCATGAATTCCATAACTAAATCTATTAAAATCAGAAGTGACATAAGTAAATTATGCTTAAATAATTTATACTCATTCAGCTAATAGACCTGTACTGGAACAGCAGTACTTTCATGCTTGAAATCTTAATATCGTTCGTAGTGTTTGTAGTGTTAACCTGGTTTTTCATTATCTGAAATTAAAACTTGCTCAAAAAGTTGCTCAAATAATTTTAAGTTTTTATAATCAGATGGTTAATGTGTAAATTAATGTAAAAAATATTTATTCAGCATAACATGTGCTTTTACAGGCAGCATATAAACTAATTAATGCAATCCATTAGATACTTGTTTAAGCACTGAAAAGGATCTTGGATATTATTGTTTGACAAGTGCATAAAGTATTCCAGGAAAAACTAAGAGTTGTAAAATAGTAAGAGGCAAAGTTTTATAAGATTAAATTTTTCTTTGCCATTAAAAATGCAAATATTGTTTTGGCTCTAATGAAAGAAATTGTTTGGGTTGCTATGACAATATGTATTTCAATCCTCATACCACATAATGTTTATCTACTTGCTATAACCCTAATTAGAATGCCAGATTTATATATAATAACATATAAAATTGGATGTGTGAATTAGCATGTCCATCTTATTTATTAACTCAGGATTTTAATTGTGTAAAAGAATGCAGTGAAGGATATAAATTATATGAAAATAAATGCTACAAAACTAATCTAAGTGAAATGTATGAAACAACATTAGATATTATATATAAAGAAAAAGAATTATAAGGACAAGTAGAAGTAGAAGTAGAAAAAATAAAAACAATTGACATACTGAAGAATTGTCCAGAATTTTGTGAATCATGTAATAGTGATACAATTTGTACAAAGTGTCTAAATCTTTACCCTATGGATGATAATATGTGTGTTAAATCATGCTACCCAAAATACTTAGAGATTATAAATGATATTTATTCATGTAAATTAAGTTGTGACGTTGGAGATTTAATCTACAAAAATGATAATATTAATGGATATCAAATTAATTAATGTTTTAAGAAAAAATGTGGAGTTATTAGAGTCAATAAAGAATATTAAACTTATTAACATTAAACAGATTCACATCGATGTCTGTATCCATGTGAAGCAGGATATTATGGTAACACTCTCCTTCTTTAATGTTAACCATGTAGTGATAAGTGTATGACCTGTGAAGTATATCCATAATTTTGCACTTCTTGTTACCCTATGACATTCTTATAGGATAGTGATTGTTTTGAATCATGTAGAGGAAAGTTTTAAAATTATATAAACTGGAAATGCGAAGGATCTTGTTCAACAGGATATAAAGTTGTAGATAAAGTTTCCAATATAAATGCTTGTGTTTCAAAATGTGGAGAAATCTTTGCCACTTTTGTTTATTCTTGGAATAATAGCTGTTATGAAAAAAAACCAGAAATAGGAGCTTATTGTATAGGATACGAATGCTATAACTGTAATTATAAGTGCAACACATGTTCAGGTCCTAACGCTAATTAATGTTTATCTTGTAAACCAAAAACTTATTTATAAAATAATGAATGTGTTAAATATTGCATTCCATAATTCTAGGATAATATTAATTGGTAATGTGTTAATGAATGCCCAATAGATAGTTATCGTACTTCAGGAAAGTTATTAATTAATGGTATTAATCAAAATGTTACATGTTGTGCTATTACTTGCTTATTTAATTAATATTAATTTTAAAATTAATGCTTTAATAGTTAACAATCTGAAACTTACTGTTAAAAAAGAGAAAATTATTATTATTGTGATAAGTGTGCCTCTGTTTGCAAAGAATGTCAAAATGCCTATTCTACATCTTGTTCAAAATGTGCTATTGGAGCTTATTTATAAGGAACTACATGTTTCACTGATTGTCCAGATAATGCACCTTATAAGGATGATAACAATTAAAGATGTGTTACAACTTGCCCTTACTATGCAGAAAATGGTCGTTGCGTTTATTCATGTTCTCCTTCATTTTACTAATATTAATTAAAAAAACTTTGTTATTAAATGGGATGTCCATTAGGAACTTATAATTAACCTAATACAAAATAATGTTATAATTGTTATATTGGTTGTGCAACTTGTACTGGAGGTCTTCAAAAATAATGTAAAACTTGTTTACCTGGATATTTTTTGAACGGAGGAACATTTTGCATGAATGGTTGTACAGTTGAGCCAGATTTAGTTTAAGATTGGGTTAATGGAGCATGTGTGCAATAATGCCCTTAAGGTACATATTTACAAACATTACCTGGAGGAGACCTAGCTTGTAAAGAAGATTGCCCAATTTATTATTATTCTAATATATGCGTTTCGAATTGTCCAGAATAAACATATTTAGATAAATAAATTTGTAGAAGTTGTGCAAGTGCTTGTTCAGAATGTTTTGGCACAAAAATCGATCAATGTTCTAAATGTGATCTTGGATATTATATTGAATAAACTACATGTTATGCAATTTGCCCTGATTATAAGCCATATGCAAATTTAGCTGATTCAAGATGTGTTGCTCAATGCCCTGATTATTTATACTTAAAAAAAAATTATTGCTTTAGTCCCTGCCCTGCCATCTTATACTATTATGAAATAAATGGTAAAAAAGAATGTGTTGATCAATGCTATTCAAAATCTTATTTATGGCTTGGTAAATGTTATGAATGTAATTCAATTTGCAAAGAATGTTTTGGCCCTAATAATGGAAATTGTCTTGAATGTGAATTACCTTACTTTTTGAATTAATAGACATGTGGAGTCACCTGTCCTAAATTTTATGACTAAACAGATCATATATGCAAAGATGCATGTCCTGTTAATTTAGTTATTTAAGAATCTAATTGTTAAAATAAATGTGATCCTGGATATTTAATTTATAATAAGGTTTGTGTTAAATATTGTCCATTTTATGCATATTAAGTGGATAACTACTGCTATGATTGTAATTTTTTTTGTAGCTCTTGTTTTGGACCAACATCTAATGAATGCTTTTCTTGTAATGATAATTATTTTTAAGATGGATATAGTTGTAAATCAGTTTGCCCTTAATTTTATAATAAAGAAAATAAAAAATGTATGCTTAATTGCACTGGTCTGTAAGAAATCACCGAAAAAAAAGAGTGTGTTTCTTAATGTCCATCAAATTACATAACTTGTTAATCTAAATGTGTTTTAGTCCTATAAGATGGATATTATTAAGATGGAAAAATATGTAAAAAATGTGATCCTAGATGTTCAAAATGCACTTCCCCAACACTTTGTTAAGCTTGTGTTTAAAATTTTTATCTTGAAGTTTAATCTTGTGTGATGATTTGCTCGAATTCTTATTTGTACATGGATCCCCTTTCGAGATCCTGTGTAACAAAATGTCCTTACACATTATATCATTTAGAATAATATGGAAAAAGATTTTGTGTAGCTGATTGCGCTTACAAACTTTATGATTAATGTGTATTAAAATGTCCAAAAGGAATGTATTCAAAAAATAAAGTATGTACTAAATGCCCTTAATATTGTGAAGAATGTGAAACTGCTACAAAATGTACAAAATGTTTATTGGGTTATTATTTTTAAAATGGATCATGCTTAAAAAGTTGTTTAAATAGTAAGACTGATACAAAGAATTTTAAGTGTGTTAATACGTGTGATGCTTCTTTGTTTGAATATAAAAATGAATGCTTAGAAAATTGTCCAACAAATCCAATTTTGTATAAAAATAAAAAAATATGTTCTCTTTCATGTCCAAATAATACTTATTAAAACGAAAGAGAATGTGTAGATTGCAATGCATCCTGTTTAACATGCATAGGACCTACTAATAAAGATTGCATAACATGTTAAGATGGATTTTATTTGGATAATTAAATTTGTACCAATGCATGTTCATCTTTATATGATGAAGTCAATAAAAAATGTGTTCTTGCGTGTCCTAAAAATCTCTTTAAGAATTAAAATAAATGTGTAAAAATATGTGATGCTTACCAATATATTAATAATTGTGTTAACACCTGTCCACCATAAACATATGCTTTGAATTAAAAATGTTTTGATTGTTCTGAAAATTGTCAAGAATGCAATTCTTTNGAATGATTAGACATGTGAAGTCACCTGTCCTTAATTTTATGACTTAACAGATCATAAATGTAAAGATGCATGTCCTGTTAATTTAGTAATTTAAGGTGTTAATTGTTAAAATGAATGTGATACTGGCTATTTAATTTATAATTAAGTTTGTGTTAATGATTGTCCATCTTTTGCGTATTAAGTGGATAACTACTGCCATGATTGTAATTTATTTTGTACTACTTGTTTTGGATCATCAGCTAACGAATGTTTTTCTTGTATTGATAATTATTTCTTAGATGGATAAAGTTGCAAATCAGTATGTCCTTTATTTTATAATAAAGAAACTAAAGAATGTTTGCAAAATTGCACTGGCCTGTATGAAATCATCGAAAATAAAGAGTGTGTTTCTTCATGTCCACTAAATTATATAACTTGTGAATCTAAATGTGTTTTAGTCCTAGAAGATGGATATTATGAGAATAACAAACAATGCTAAAAATGTGATCCTAAATGTTCAAAATGCACCTCAGGCACTATTTGTTAAGCTTGTGCAAAGAATTTTTATCTTGAAGTTTAAAATTGTGTAAGTTTTTGCTCAAATTAATATTTACATATGGATCCTATTACAAATTAGTGTGTAACTAAATGTCCACCTACATTGTATCATCAGGAATCATTTGGTAAAAGATTTTGTGTAGCTGATTGCACTTTTAGATTATATGATCAATGCGTATCAAAATGTCCAAATGGAATGTATTCAAAAGATAAAGTATGTACAAAATGTCCTTAATATTGTGAAGAATGTGAGACTGCTACAAAATGCACAAAATGTTTATAAGGATATTATTTTCAAAATGGATCATGCTTACTTAGTTGTGTAAGTGGTAAAACAGATAGAAAAAATATTAACTGTGTTGATGAGTGTGATGCTTCTTTGTTTGAATTTTAAAATGAATGCTTAGAAAATTGTCCCACAGATCCAATTTTGTATAACAATAAAAAGATATGTTCTCTTACATGTCCAAATAATACATATTAAAATGAAAGAGAATGTATAGATTGCGATGCATCCTGTTTAACATGCATAGGACCTACAGATAAAGATTGCCTAACTTGTTAAGATGGATATTATTTGGATAATTAAATTTGTACAAATTTATGTTCATCTTTATATGATGAAGTTAATAAAAAATGTGTTATCACTTGTCCTACTAATCTCTTTTAAGATTAAGATAAATGTGTAAAAATATGTAGTGCATACCAATATATTAATAATTGTGTTAACACCTGTCCACCATTAACATATACTTTGAATTAAAAATGTTTTGATTGTTCTGAAAATTGTCAAGAATGTAATTCTCTTGGATGCACAATATGTGGTTCTGGTACATTTTTAAATGATGGTTTATGTAGTAATTATTGCCCATATTTTTACAATAAAGTAAATAATCAATGTGCTTAATTATGTCCAAAAGATACTTTTGTATATATAGATCATTGTTATTCAGAATGCCCTGTGAGTACTTATTCATATAAAAATAATTGTCTTTTGGCATGTCCAGCTTTAACAGTTTAAGTAAATAATGCATGCGTTTCATGTTCTGAAAGATGTTTAATTTGTAAGAGTGAACATGAATGTTCAAAATGCGAAAACCCATATTTTTTATTTAATGGTTATTGCGTTGTGAAATGCCCAATATAATTACCTTTTTAAGACATTACTAATGGCTTGTGTGTTTCGACTTGTCCACCTGAATCTTATGAAAAAGGATATGAGTGTGTTAAGGAATGTGATTTGATTATACACTAAAAGCAATGCCTCTAAGCATGTCCTATTGGGTATTACGGTAATGATTATTGTAAACCATGCCGATTAGAATGCGAAGCTTGTTCAAGTTTTGAAATTTGCACAGAATGTAATGAAAATTTCTTTCTTGAATTCAATCAATGTGATACTTAATGTACTAAAATAAAAGATTTAAAATCAAAATCATGCGTCAATGTTTGCAACAATTTTTTATATAAGAATGTTTGTTATGAAACTTGCCCAAATAACACATATGAATTTATAAACGAATGTGTCTTAAATTGTAATAATGGGTATTATGGCACTATAGACTATAAATGCTAGAAGTGTCCCTAATAATGTGTAAATTGTATTAACTCTTCCGAATGTACCAAATGTACTATAGGATACTTTTTACATAATAAACAATGTTTAGATTAATGTCCTGTCTCATTTTTTTCAAATCCTGTACTTAACGAGTGTTCAAAAAAATGTCCTGTCACGACATTTATATTTTAAAATTCTTGTCTTTTTGAATGCCCCTCTTAATATTTTAACGATATGGATAATTATAAATGTGTGAATAATTGTGGACCTTAATAGTATTTAAGTAAAAAAAACTGTTTAAAATGTTCGATAGAATGTGATTAGTGCACTGGAAAAGGAAATAATAATTGCATCAAGTGTGCAAGCAGTTTTATCTTGACTGAAGATGGATTTTGTATAGGCAATTGTAAAGATGGATATTACAAATAAGATAATTCTTGTTATTAATGTATACATAAGTGTTAAACATGCTCAAATGCGACTGATTGCATTAAATGTAGAGGGTTCAATAGAAATGCTGAAGATTGTTCTTGTCCAAAAGGATACTATGATGATGAATTCTAAGATGATTGTAAAAAATGTCCTTGTGATGAATGTACTTCAAGTGATAACTGTCTTATATGTAAAAATAATCTTTAAGTTCCAAAATGTAATTGCGATAGAGTTCTCAATGATGATTGGTGCATTACTTGTCAAGTAGCTAAAGTCAATATTTATTATTCTGATGATCTAAATCAAATAATAGTAAATTTTGGTTATTTAATTTCTGTTAATTTAATAAATCCATTTTAACCTTCAAATTGTTCTTCTTGGTTTGATAATTCAGAAATTTTTGGTAAAAATGCTTAATGTTATTTATCTTGGAATAGATATGCCGTACACATTATATTATAACCTTATGCATCTATTAAAATAGGAGATTAGTTAAATTTTAAGAGTTCTTTTTATAGAGACGTAGATTAAGGGATTTGTGATGAACTGTTTATTGAATAATTTATTGAAAATTAAGTGAAAGAACCTTAAAGCTTCTCTAAACCTTATATTCTTTTTGATGTTCCTTCATTTGTTAGCACATGCAAAACAATATTTATTAAATAAATCTTATTAGATGGTACTGGTTAAAAACTATAGACTATTCTATCTTGGACCCTTAAAGAAATGGAAAATGAGGAATAATTTCTACAAATGGATGCATTCTTAGCTAATCAATAAAATGAGATTACTATTCCTATAGGTACCTTATCAACAAATGTTACATATACAATCACAGCAAAGTATATTAATTTCTTGTAAAGAGTTAATTTCACAACATTTTCATTTACAACTCTCCCAATACAAGCTCCTTATGTATTTTTAAGTTTTGAACCTCTAATGGCAAGAGTTTATGTATTTGATTGCCATGTCTCTTACTCAGATTTGAAAAATGAATTTAATGTTGCTATTGAGATATTAGGAAATAACAACGAATCATACATTTAATTAACTTAATAAGTAAACCCAATTTATGACATTCCTCTGAATGAGTCCCTGCTTCCTAAAGAAACTCCCTTATAATTTATTGCTTCGACTGGAAGTTCGATAATAAAGGAAGTTTTTTTTTTAAAATCGAAAGAAATAGAAATAAATTTTTTATAAAAAAATAGGTTTATTGGTTTGGATAATTAAATTAATGCAAGAGGCTTTGATAGAAACATATAAGATGAAATTTTAAGCACAAAAGAAATCGCTTATGAATGGCAATGCAATAACTTACATAATTTATAACCTTGCAAAACAGATGAAAATCAAATTATGCAATTTCCATCTAGAAGAGTTGTCAATATCTTTGCTGATAGTTAAAATACAACTTTCGTATTTTTCGCAAAAGCATCTAAAGGTAATAGATGGACAGTCAAAGAATAATTGATAATCATTACAGACTTTAATATTGAGGAAGAATTTACTATCAATAATGATGATCCTAAAAATTATATTAATGCAAATGATGAAGTGACGATTTTATTAAAAAAATAACAACAATATGCATTTATAATCTAAAAACACAAAATTCTGGAATCTTTCAAAATAACAAGCTTGTCATTTAAATTTAGATTAGCTGGTTTTACAACTGATTATAAAAGTCCAGTTTACATTTATTTGATACCAGGAAACGAATCAATCGCTTTCAAACTAAACGATCCACCTCTATAGGGAACTTTTTAAATAGATCCATTAATAGGAGAATCTTTAGACTATTTTAATTACTCTGTTACAAATCTTTTAGAGGGAAATTATTTCAGCCTTTATTATTATTTTGAAAAATCCATGGTGGAAAGTGATGTAAATACATAGTCTACAATTAATGGAATTCCACTGGTCATAAACACAAATGTAACTTCTGGATAATTTTAATTGCCTAATGGAATCACAAATAATTCAATATCTGTTCTATGTGAGATTCATTCAAATTACGGCGCTAAATCTTACTTGAGATAAGATGTTTATGTGGTAAGAAAAAATTATGAATTTTAATAATTGTACAAATCATTCACTAATAAAACTAATTTAGAAGATTTATAAAGTCTTCACACTATGATTGCATTGATTTAGCTTGAAGAGCAATAGGTTTGTTTGAAACAGTGTTCAGGTGTTGGAACCTGTGTTAATGATAAATGTTAATGCCCTCCTGGATATTACTTTGCTGATTGCAGCGGAAATTAAGACTAATAAAATTAATTTAATGAATTTTTAAATAATGTTATGTTATCTTTGATCAAGAGACCAATAAAAAATAACTAAGAAATGAAATTATTTAGTGAATCTCTTTACTTTTTATAATCATTTAATTCAAACAATACATTAAGTTTAGAAGATTGTTAAACCATATTATAATCGTATATAGAGAACACAAATTAAAGATTAGAATAGATAAATTAATATTCAATAAATTTATAATATTAATCTACTGATGATTTTAATTACTCCTAAATAGACATTCGTTCTTTAATTAATAAAAATGATTTACATATCGCTCTTAAAAGTACTGTTTTTATGTGGGAAAAAACAATATTTACTTAAGGTTCAAATATTTATTAATTACAAAATCATTTAGGCAACTTTATAAATAACATTATTGAATTATCTATCTTTGCTTTAAATCCAAACGAAAAAATCGATTTTTCAATCGATACTGCATCCATAATTATTTATAATTCCAAAACTATCCCTTAAGTTTCTAATAGAATTTTGGAAGAAATCCCCAATAATTATTCAACAAGCTATGATATCGTTTAAGCAATCTATATTAGAAACTATTATGCTTTTGATGGATATTTTCCATATCCACAATAAATTTATCCATTATATAACTTTTTAATCAGATCATCAAATAGAAAAGAAAATATAGAATTAGATTAACCTATATCCTATAGATTTGGCATTTAAAATGATACAACAAATTTAGTTTGTTTATAAAGAAATTCTAAGACTTATGAATGGTCTAATAATAATTGCACTATTTCTTCCATAAATTCAACTTACTTTTGTAATTGTACTACTCTTTCACCTACAACAATTTGTAATGACTACGATAATATTTATGAAGGTACACCAGGTTTCAAGCTAAATCTTCCTAATATCTTCTATATCATTTACATTTTTTAATTAATAATTATAGCTATATTTTTTAGTAAAGCTAAAATACATGATAATGAAATATCAAATGAAAATACAAAGTTTGGCCGTGTTTTTAAATTAGCTAAAAGTCATAGAGTGAATATTATAGGTAATTAAGTTTATCCAGTTGAATAAGAAAAGGATACTCGGGAATTAATAAAAAAGCCATAAATTAACAATAATGAATAAAAAAATGATAAGTTTCATTTTAACTATTTTTGGGTAATTAATTTTATTTATTTAGAAATATCATTGCTTAACATAGTTGATATTTAAATAATTATCTTATATTAGCCCATTGATGAGATCTCTTTTAATATTATTAAGATGGAATTCAGCATTAATCATTGGGGAAGTGTTATGTTTATCACAATTTGAATATTAAGTTTCCATTTGGATAATTCTTGCATCAATCATTATTTTAAGATTAAGTGAAAATTTTTTCAAAGTATGAATAATCATATTTTTAGAAAAGAATAAAGTATTTCTTTATTTTGAGACAGCAAATTCTTGTTACAATTATTAAAATCTTTTTATTGTTGATTCTAATCTTCACAGTCTTATGTGAATTATATTTTTATTTTATGATAGTCAACTAAACTAATTTAGTAATTTATCATAATTATTCTAGATTGTTTCATATAGTGGGGCAATATTAATTGATGTCCTTCTTATCGATATTATTATTTTTAGCGCGAATAGATTTTTAGGGGAAAATAAAAAGAAGAATATAAGAAAAAGAATAAAAGAACTCAAATAACTTACTAATATTTAAAAAGAGAAAGAATGAAAATTATAAATTTGAGCATATAAAAAGTTAATAATAAATTTTCGAGTCATAAAAATAATTTTTTAGAGTTTTTTTTAGTAATTTGGCAAGTAGTTTTTAATAAAATATTTTATGATGTATCAAAATGGATAATTTGGCTAGAATCATTTAAAAGTTTGTGCAAATTATTATAAATCAATATATTATGTTAGGTTACGATAATAGATTTCATTTTTATTGCGATCCTTATCCATTTAATCAATGAAACTCTTCCCTTTTCTTTCTTTATTAATTTTTTAATTTATTTTTCTCCTATACTTTAGATTTCTTTTTTATGAAGTCGTCATTTACTCAAAGAAATACAGTTTTCTCAAATATTACCTCCTAATTTTTGAATTATGCTAAGTAATTAAAATGCGGCTTTTTAAGAGATTTCCATAATTTTAAAAAATCCCTCCAGTTATTCTATGATTATTATTTAAATAACTAAAGTAAAAATTATTGGCCTTATTTTGATCAATATTATTGCTAGATATTTCAAACACAAAATCCTAATCATATGAATTATAGTAAACTTAATTAATTTTAGTTGGTTAAATAATTTATTTTAAGGTAATTGAATCAAATCCTATTTTAGTCATTTATTTTGTAAAGAGGATGGGTTAGCTAAATCATAATCCTGTAGATCTATTAAATTATCTTCTTATTACTACTTCAATTTTTATTTTTTAAACTAATTTTAATTTATAGCATAATTCATATATTATAAACCCCAATTTATATAAGTTATTGTTGAATTAAAATTTTANCATTGATGAGATCTCTTTTAATATTATTAAGATGGAATTCAGCATTAATCATTGGGGAAGTGTTATGTTTATCACAATTTGAATATTAAGTTTCCATTTGGATAATTCTTGCATCAATCATTATTTTAAGATTAAGTGAAAATTTTTTCAAAGTATGAATAATCATATTTTTAGAAAAGAATAAAGTATTTCTTTATTTTGAGACAGCAAATTCTTGTTACAATTATTAAAATCTTTTTATTGTTGATTCTAATCTTCACAGTCTTATGTGAATTATATTTTTATTTTATGATAGTCAACTAAACTAATTTAGTAATTTATCATAATTATTCTAGATTGTTTCATATAGTGGGGCAATATTAATTGATGTCCTTCTTATCGATATTATTATTTTTAGCGCGAATAGATTTTTAGGGGAAAATAAAAAGAAGAATATAAGAAAAAGAATAAAAGAACTCAAATAACTTACTAATATTTAAAAAGAGAAAGAATGAAAATTATAAATTTGAGCATATAAAAAGTTAATAATAAATTTTCGAGTCATAAAAATAATTTTTTAGAGTTTTTTTTAGTAATTTGGCAAGTAGTTTTTAATAAAATATTTTATGATGTATCAAAATGGATAATTTGGCTAGAATCATTTAAAAGTTTGTGCAAATTATTATAAATCAATATATTATGTTAGGTTACGATAATAGATTTCATTTTTATTGCGATCCTTATCCATTTAATCAATGAAACTCTTCCCTTTTCTTTCTTTATTAATTTTTTAATTTATTTTTCTCCTATACTTTAGATTTCTTTTTTATGAAGTCGTCATTTACTCAAAGAAATACAGTTTTCTCAAATATTACCTCCTAATTTTTGAATTATGCTAAGTAATTAAAATGCGGCTTTTTAAGAGATTTCCATAATTTTAAAAAATCCCTCCAGTTATTCTATGATTATTATTTAAATAACTAAAGTAAAAATTATTGGCCTTATTTTGATCAATATTATTGCTAGATATTTCAAACACAAAATCCTAATCATATGAATTATAGTAAACTTAATTAATTTTAGTTGGTTAAATAATTTATTTTAAGGTAATTGAATCAAATCCTATTTTAGTCATTTATTTTGTAAAGAGGATGGGTTAGCTAAATCATAATCCTGTAGATCTATTAAATTATCTTCTTATTACTACTTCAATTTTTATTTTTTAAACTAATTTTAATTTATAGCATAATTCATATATTATAAACCCCAATTTATATAAGTTATTGTTGAATTAAAATTTTATTAAATTTATTTATAAATTTAAAAGAGTAAAATTAAGAAATTTATTGTTGATGTAAATCAAAAAAATGTTTTAAATAAGGAAATGTTTAAATTGATACCCCAAAAATTAACCACAAGACAATTAAATCAAAATATAACAAGACTTATTTTTTGAATTAATGAATAGGTTAAATATAATAAAAAGATATATTTTAAATATTTAAAATCTTGAGATATCTATTTTTGGGACAAAAAAAATCCCTAATCATTTATTCGTATATAAGCAAATATACCTTATAATCAATTATAATATAAAATTTACAAGTTTAAAATTTTGAATCAAAGCTCTTTCTCATAAATTTGTCATTTAAAAAATTACTTTATTAAAAATTAAATATAATAAACTAAAATATTGAAATTTATATTAATTATTACAGCCTAAGATTATACTAATAATTAAGTTGAAAGATTTCATCACTAATTGTATTTGTTTGGAAATTGAAAAATATTTTTATTAAATTTTTGATAAGTATTATTTTGATTATGTCTTTGAGTTTCAAACATCTATTTCTAATGGTTTTGCATTATTTATTTTAAAATTTACTATTATTAAAATCAGATCCTGTTTTTATATTCTGAATTAATTTTATTTCATGGTTTTAATGAAAAAAAAATTAATACAAAACAACCTTTTTTAAATTAAAAAAAAAATTTCTATCATAAAAATAGATAGACTTTGTAGTATAGCAGCACTATAATATGAAAAATTAAGGGAACATAATATCTTAAATTTTTTTCCAGATTAGATCTGAAACTAATAGTTTTTTACTATTTCTATGATCAGATTTATGATTTATTTCATTATTTAATGTTTCATTTAGTATTTATCTCTATAGCTTTCTATTAGATATATGCTTAAACTAAAATTACGTTGTAAGGTTCACAACCACTTAAGATTGAGTGTAAAGGGGGTAAGATAATTAATAAGAACTTTCATTAGATTATGGTATATTAGGAAATCAAGATTTTAATAAATAACTATACTAGTAAAGCATACTATAATCTGTGGATTAGATTACATTTAGTTTTTGGATGATGGTTCATTCTTAGATAAAAATGACTGGAAGATAAATTATATTTAGTTTAGTTGATGGATTTTCATCAAATCCTGTAATCTTTATTATTTATTTAGTCTTTAAATTTGATGCTTTTTTATTAAATCGAATAAGAAGATTATTATTTAAGCTTAATTAATCAAAAAATGACTCCAGTAATTTTAAAATTAAAAATTGTCTAGTAATTTATATTATATTAGATATTAGAGTAAATAATCTTTTCATAGATACATGGAATCATGTATTTCTTTCGATTGATTAAAAATCTTCAAATGTTACTTTCCTCAATCTTAAATTTTTTTCCACTTATAATTTTTAACTTTTTCAAGTAGTCGATACATTGATAAATGAAAAGTAAATATTGATATAAATTTTAGACTAATTTATAAATTTACTTATGAATCCAGAATAACAAATGAACGTTTCACTAGTAATTCACCCGATGATTCTAAGGCTTGCATTTACCTAGCAAGTTTTGATTATATAAATGGATGGTCATCTATGGACTAAGAAATATATGTAGATTATGAACCCATACTTAAATTTGCATTAAAGCCTTATGCATCAGATGGTATTATAGTAGATAAAGTTTTTGATCAAATCAATTTGAGACAAAGTACAGTTCCAATTGAATATAGTGGAAAGATAGGCATGAATTTGTATAAAAATACATAGATAGTTTACAATTTCTTAGAAAAATTGTCTTCTTTAACAATAATGTTTTGGGTTAAACCTTAAAATATAGAATCTTCATTTTAATTTTTATCTTTAACAGATGATGTTTTATAAGAAACTAGTATAGGGTTTGGAGTTAATAAAAATTATGATCTATTGTTTTATCAAATTTATACTAAGTCTCCAATTGGGGCTTTGGCCTCCAACACTTGGAAAAAAGTTACAGCTGCATTTTTAGATTTAGGTTTTAATGCAAACTTTGAGCCATTAAATTAAAAAAAAGCAATGAGAATATTTATTGATAATGTCTAAACAAAGTTAGATTTTGTTATGAACATAAAACCATATAAAAGATTAGTTATAGGACCTGTTTTTATGGATGATTGTGGATAAGAAGTCATTGACATTTAAGATATAAAAATTTTTTCAGGATATGGAATTTTATAAACATTTAATCATGATTGTTAAATCTTGGTTGGCAAGTATTGTGCATTTTGTAAATCAGGCACTCATTATTGTAAAGAATAAGATCCTAATGATGACATTAAAGTTTATAATTGTCCAGCTGGATATAAAGATTAAAATTATGAATGCTCTTAAATCAATATTCCAAATTGTCTCAGAATGTCATCATTTACATGTGAGATATGTGCATGGGGTTATCAATTAATAAACGGATAATGTCAATCTACTAATTAAATTGTTACTTCCCCATACTCTTGTAAAGATCCTAAAGCACAATATTGCTCTATCATAAATTCGCTAACTAAATCTGATTAAACTAGAAACGACATAAGTAAATTATGCTTAAATAATTTTTACTCATTTATAGAATATACCTGTTCTGGATTAGAAGTGCCTTCATGTTTGAAATCTCAATTTCCCTATAAGTGTGCTTAGTGTATAGATGGGTTTACATTAACTGAAAATAAAGTTTGTTCAAAAATTTGCTCAAATAATTAAAAATTTTTAAAATCAAATGGTGAATGTGTAAGCTATTGTAAAAAATATTTATTCAGCATAGAATGTTCTCCTACAGGCAGCATATAAAAAAACTAATGCAATCCATTAGATACTTGTTTAAGCACTGAAAAGGATCTTGGATATTATTGTTTGACAAGTGCATAAAGTATTCCAGGATAAACTAAGAGTTGTTAAGTGACAAACAGCCAAATTTTGCAAGATTAACTTTTAATTTGCCATGTAAAATGTAAATATTGTTTTGGTACTGGTGAAACAAATTGCTTGGGGTGCTATGAAAATATGTATTACAATCCTCATACTACATCATGCTTGTCAAATTGCAATAGTTTTGATTTGAATGCTAGATTCATATATAATAACAGATATAACTGGATGTGTGAATTAGAATGTCCATTTGATTTATATACTCAGAATTCTGATTGTGTAAAAGAATGCAGTGTAGGATTTAAATAATTTGATGAAAAATGCTTACCTGATTAAATATACAAAGATTTGTTCGAATTAAACTAAGGTTGCCCAGAATTTTGTGAAATATGTAATAGTGATAAAATTTGTACAAAGTGTCAAAATCTCTTCTCTATGGATCAAGGTAAATGTGTTAAATCATGCTATCCAAAATATTTAAGTATTATAGATCGAACTCGTTTATGTAAATTAAGTTGTGACGCTGGAGATTTAATCTACAAAAATGATAATATTAATGGATATCAAATTAATAAATGTTTTAAGAAAAAATGTGGAGTTATTAGAGTCAATAAAGAATATTAAACTTATTAACATTAAACAGATTCACATCGATGTCTGTATCCATGTGAAGCAGGATATTATGGTAACACTCTCCTTCTATAATGTTAACCATGTAGTAATAAGTGTAAAACCTGTGAAATATCTCCATAATTTTGCACATCTTGTTACCCTATGACATTTTTAGAAGCTAGTGATTGTTTTGAATCATGTAAAGGAAAGTTTTAAAATTATGTAAACTGGAATTGCGAAGGATCTTGTTCAATAGGATATAAAGTTGTAGATAAAGTTTCCAATATAAATGCTTGTGTTTCAAAATGTGGAGAAATCTTTGCCACTTTTGTTTATTCTTGGAATAATAGCTGTTATGAAAAAAAACCAGAAATAGGAGTTTATTGTTTAGGATATGAATGTTAAAACTGTAATAATTATTGCAAGACATGTTCAGGTCCTAGCCCAACTTAATGCTTATCTTGTAAACAAAAATCATATTTATAAAATAATAAGTGTGTTAATAACTGCAGTTCATAATTATAAGATAATATAAATTGGCAATGTGTTGATGAATGCCCAAAAGATAGTTATAGTACTACAGGCAAATTATAAATTAATGATAATTCAATAAGCGTAACATAATGTGATACTACTTGTTTATTAGATTAATTTTAACTTAAAGATAAATGCTTTTAGAATTAACCAATTTAGACTTACTGCAAAAAAAAAGTTAATTATTATTATTGTGAATACTGTTCTTCTGTTTGTTCAGAATGTTATGATGTCTATTCTAATTCTTGCACAAAATGTTCTAATGGAGCTTATTTATATGATACTACATGTTACACTGATTGTCCAGATGATGCGCCTTACAAGGATGATAGCGTTCAAAAATGTGTTTCAAGTTGCTCTTAATATGCAGAAAAGGGTCGTTGTGTTGTTTAATGCTCATCTTTGTATTTCTTATACGAAGAAAAAAGGCTTTGTTTTTAAATGGGATGTCCATTAGGAACTTATGAATCATAATTAAAATATTGTAATAGTTGTAACGCAGGTTGTGCAACTTGCACTGGAGGATCTGATCAAGAATGCACAACTTGTTTACCTGGATACTTTTTGAACGGAGGGACATTTTGTATCAAAGGTTGTACAGTTGAACCAGATTTAATTTAAGATTGGATTAATGGTGCATGCGTATAATAATGCCCTTAAGGTGCATATTTACAAACATTACCTGGAGGAGACCTAGCTTGTAAAGAAGATTGCCCAATTTATTATTATTCTAATATATGTGTTTCGAATTGTCCAGAATAAACATATTTAGATAAATAAATTTGTAGAAGTTGTGCAAGTGCTTGTTCAGAATGTTTTGGCACAAAAATCGATCAATGTTCTAAATGTGATCTTGGATATTATATTGAATAAACTACATGTTATGCAATTTGCCCTGATTATAAGCCATATGCAAATTTAGCTGATTCAAGATGTGTTGCTCAATGCCCTGATTATTTATACTTAAAAAAAAATTATTGCTTTAGTCCCTGCCCTGCCATCTTATACTATTATGAAATAAATGGTAAAAAAGAATGTGTTGATCAATGCTATTCAAAATCTTATTTATGGCTTGGTAAATGTTATGAATGTAATTCAATTTGCAAAGAATGTTTTGGCCCTAATAATGGAAATTGTCTTGAATGTGAATTACCTTACTTTTTGAATTAATAGACATGTGGAGTCACCTGTCCTAAATTTTATGACTAAACAGATCATATATGCAAAGATGCATGTCCTGTTAATTTAGTTATTTAAGAATCTAATTGTTAAAATAAATGTGATCCTGGATATTTAATTTATAATAAGGTTTGTGTTAAATATTGTCCATTTTATGCATATTAAGTGGATAACTACTGCTATGATTGTAATTTTTTTTGTAGCTCTTGTTTTGGACCAACATCTAATGAATGCTTTTCTTGTAATGATAATTATTTTTAAGATGGATATAGTTGTAAATCAGTTTGCCCTTAATTTTATAATAAAGAAAATAAAAAATGTATGCTTAATTGCACTGGTCTGTAAGAAATCACCGAAAAAAAAGAGTGTGTTTCTTAATGTCCATCAAATTACATAACTTGTTAATCTAAATGTGTTTTAGTCCTATAAGATGGATATTATTAAGATGGAAAAATATGTAAAAAATGTGATCCTAGATGTTCAAAATGCACTTCCCCAACACTTTGTTAAGCTTGTGTTTAAAATTTTTATCTTGAAGTTTAATCTTGTGTGATGATTTGCTCGAATTCTTATTTGTACATGGATCCCCTTTCGAGATCCTGTGTAACAAAATGTCCTTACACATTATATCATTTAGAATAATATGGAAAAAGATTTTGTGTAGCTGATTGCGCTTACAAACTTTATGATTAATGTGTATTAAAATGTCCAAAAGGAATGTATTCAAAAAATAAAGTATGTACTAAATGCCCTTAATATTGTGAAGAATGTGAAACTGCTACAAAATGTACAAAATGTTTATTGGGTTATTATTTTTAAAATGGATCATGCTTAAAAAGTTGTTTAAATAGTAAGACTGATACAAAGAATTTTAAGTGTGTTAATACGTGTGATGCTTCTTTGTTTGAATATAAAAATGAATGCTTAGAAAATTGTCCAACAAATCCAATTTTGTATAAAAATAAAAAAATATGTTCTCTTTCATGTCCAAATAATACTTATTAAAACGAAAGAGAATGTGTAGATTGCAATGCATCCTGTTTAACATGCATAGGACCTACTAATAAAGATTGCATAACATGTTAAGATGGATTTTATTTGGATAATTAAATTTGTACCAATGCATGTTCATCTTTATATGATGAAGTCAATAAAAAATGTGTTCTTGCGTGTCCTAAAAATCTCTTTAAGAATTAAAATAAATGTGTAAAAATATGTGATGCTTACCAATATATTAATAATTGTGTTAACACCTGTCCACCATAAACATATGCTTTGAATTAAAAATGTTTTGATTGTTCTGAAAATTGTCAAGAATGCAATTCTTTTGGATGCACAATATGTGGTTCTGGTACATTTTTAAATGATGGTTTATGTAGTAAATATTGCCCATATTATTACAATGAAGTAAATAATCAATGTGCTTAATTATGTCCAAAAGATACTTTTGTATATATAGATCATTGTTATTCAGAATGCCCAGTGAGTNGAATTAATAGACATGTGGAGTCACCTGTCCTAAATTTTATGACTAAACAGATCATATATGCAAAGATGCATGTCCTGTTAATTTAGTTATTTAAGAATCTAATTGTTAAAATAAATGTGATCCTGGATATTTAATTTATAATAAGGTTTGTGTTAAATATTGTCCATTTTATGCATATTAAGTGGATAACTACTGCTATGATTGTAATTTTTTTTGTAGCTCTTGTTTTGGACCAACATCTAATGAATGCTTTTCTTGTAATGATAATTATTTTTAAGATGGATATAGTTGTAAATCAGTTTGCCCTTAATTTTATAATAAAGAAAATAAAAAATGTATGCTTAATTGCACTGGTCTGTAAGAAATCACCGAAAAAAAAGAGTGTGTTTCTTAATGTCCATCAAATTACATAACTTGTTAATCTAAATGTGTTTTAGTCCTATAAGATGGATATTATTAAGATGGAAAAATATGTAAAAAATGTGATCCTAGATGTTCAAAATGCACTTCCCCAACACTTTGTTAAGCTTGTGTTTAAAATTTTTATCTTGAAGTTTAATCTTGTGTGATGATTTGCTCGAATTCTTATTTGTACATGGATCCCCTTTCGAGATCCTGTGTAACAAAATGTCCTTACACATTATATCATTTAGAATAATATGGAAAAAGATTTTGTGTAGCTGATTGCGCTTACAAACTTTATGATTAATGTGTATTAAAATGTCCAAAAGGAATGTATTCAAAAAATAAAGTATGTACTAAATGCCCTTAATATTGTGAAGAATGTGAAACTGCTACAAAATGTACAAAATGTTTATTGGGTTATTATTTTTAAAATGGATCATGCTTAAAAAGTTGTTTAAATAGTAAGACTGATACAAAGAATTTTAAGTGTGTTAATACGTGTGATGCTTCTTTGTTTGAATATAAAAATGAATGCTTAGAAAATTGTCCAACAAATCCAATTTTGTATAAAAATAAAAAAATATGTTCTCTTTCATGTCCAAATAATACTTATTAAAACGAAAGAGAATGTGTAGATTGCAATGCATCCTGTTTAACATGCATAGGACCTACTAATAAAGATTGCATAACATGTTAAGATGGATTTTATTTGGATAATTAAATTTGTACCAATGCATGTTCATCTTTATATGATGAAGTCAATAAAAAATGTGTTCTTGCGTGTCCTAAAAATCTCTTTAAGAATTAAAATAAATGTGTAAAAATATGTGATGCTTACCAATATATTAATAATTGTGTTAACACCTGTCCACCATAAACATATGCTTTGAATTAAAAATGTTTTGATTGTTCTGAAAATTGTCAAGAATGCAATTCTTTTGGATGCACAATATGTGGTTCTGGTACATTTTTAAATGATGGTTTATGTAGTAAATATTGCCCATATTATTACAATGAAGTAAATAATCAATGTGCTTAATTATGTCCAAAAGATACTTTTGTATATATAGATCATTGTTATTCAGAATGCCCAGTGAGTACTTATTAGTATAAAAATGATTGTCTTTTGGTATGTCCAACTCTAACAGTTTAAGTAAATAATGCATGCGTTTCATGTTCTGAAAGATGTTTAATTTGTAAGAGTGAATATGAATGCTCAAAATGCGAAAACCCATATTTTTTATTTAGTGGTTCTTGCGTTGTGCAATGTCCACTATAATTACGATTTCAAGATTTCGTTAACGGCTTGTGTGTTTCGAGTTGTCCACCTGAATCTTATGAAAAAGGATATGAGTGTGTTAAGGAATGTGATTTGATTATACACTAAAAGCAATGCCTCTAAGCATGTCCTATTGGGTATTATAGTAATGATTATTGTAAACCATGCCGATTAGAATGCAAAGCTTGTTCAAGTTTTGAAATTTGCACAGAATGTAATGAAAATTTCTTTCTTGAATTCAATCAATGTGATACTTAATGTACTAAAATAAAAGATTTAAAATCAAAATCATGCGTCAATGTTTGCAACAATTTTTTATATAAGAATGTTTGTTATGAAACTTGCCCAAATAACACATATGAATTTATAAACGAATGTGTCTTAAATTGTAATAATGGGTATTATGGCACTATAGACTATAAATGCTAGAAGTGTCCCTAATAATGTGTAAATTGTATTAATTCTTCCGAATGTACCAAATGTACTATAGGATACTTTTTACATAATGAATAATGTTTAGATTAATGTCCTGTCTCATTTTTTTCAAATCCTATACTTAACGAATGTTCAACAAAATGTCCTGTCACTACATTTATATTTTAAAATTCTTGTCTTTTTGAATGCCCCTCTTAATATTTTAACGATATGGATAATTATAAATGTGTGAATAATTGTGGACCTTAATAGTATTTAAGTAAAAAAAACTGTTTAAAATGTTCGATAGAATGTGATTAGTGCACTGGAAAAGGAAATAATAATTGCATCAAGTGTGCAAGCAGTTTTATATTGACTGAAGATGGATTTTGTATAGGCAATTGTAAAGATGGATATTACAAATAAGATAATTCTTGTTATTAATGTATACATAAGTGTTAAACATGCTCAAATGCGACTGATTGCATTAAATGTAGAGGGTTCAATAGAAATGCTGAAGATTGTTCTTGTCCAAAAGGATACTATGATGATGAATTCTAAGATGATTGTAAAAAATGTCCTTGTGATGAATGTACTTCAAGTGATAACTGTCTTATATGTAAAAATAATCTTTAAGTTCCAAAATGTAATTGTGATAGAGTTCTCAATGATGATTGGTGCATTACTTGTCAAGTAGCTAAAGTCAATATTTATTATTCTGATGATCTAAATCAAATAATAGTAAATTTTGGTTATTTGATTTCTGTTAATTTGATAAATCCATTTTAACCTTCAAATTGTTCTTCTTGGTTTGATAATTCAGAAATTTTTGGTAAAAATGCTTAATGTTATTTATCTTGGAATAGATATGCCGTACACATTATATTATAACCTTATGCATCTATTAAAATAGGAGATTAGTTAAATTTTAAGAGTTCTTTTTATAGAGACGTAGATTAAGGGATTTGTGATGAACTGTTTATTGAATAATTTATTGAAAATAAAGTGAAAGAACCTTAAAGCTTCTCTAAACCTTATATTCTTTTTGATGTTCCTTCATTTGTTAGCACATGCAAAACAATATTTATTAAATAAATCTTATTAGATGGTACTGGTTAAAAACTTTAGACTATTCTATCTTGGACCCTTAAAGAAATGGAAAATGAGGAATAATTTCTACAAATGGATGCATTCTTAGCTAATCAATAAAATGAGATTACTATTCCTATAGGTACCTTATCAACAAATGTTACATATACAATCACAGCAAAGTATATTAATTTCTTGTAAAGAGTTAATTTCACAACATTTTCATTTACAACTCTCCCAATACAAGCTCCTTATGTATTTTTAAGTTTTGAACCTCTAATGGCAAGAGTTTATGTATTTGATTGCCATGTCTCTTACTCAGATTTGAAAAAGAAATTTAATGTTTTTATAGAGATATTAGGAAATAAGAATGAATCATATCTATAATTAACTTAAGAAATAAATCCACTTTATGACATTCCTTTAAACGAGTCTCTCCTTCCTAAAGAGACTCCTTTAAAATTTATGGCATCAACTGGAAGTTCGATAATAAAAGAAGTTTTTTATTTAAAATCGAAAGAAATAGAAATAAATTTTTTATAAAAAAATAGGTTTATTGGTTTGGATAATTAAATTAATGCAAGAGGCTTTGATAGAAACATCTAAGATGAAATTTTAAGCACAAAAGAAATCAATTATGAATGGTTATGCAATAACTTACATAATTTATAACCTTGCAAAACAGATGAAAATCAAATTATGCAATTTCCATCTAGAAGAATTGTCAATATCTTTGCTGATAGTTAAAATACAACTTTCGTATTTTTCGCAAAAGCATCTAAAGGTAATAGATGGACAGTCAAAGAATAATTGATAATCATTACAGACTTTAATATTGAGGAAGAATTTACTATCAATAATGATGATCCTAAAAATTATATTAATGCAAATGATGAAGTGACGATTTTAATAAAAAAATAATAACAATATGCATTTATAATCTAAAAACACAAAATTTTGGAATCTATCAAAATAACAAGCTTGTCCTTTAAATTTAGATTAGCTGGTTTTACAACTGATTATAAAAGTCCAGTTTACATTTATTTGATACCAGGAAATGAATCAATCGTTTTCAAATTGAATGATCCACCTAAAGATGGAAGCCTAAAAATAGAGCCTTTAATAGGAGAATCTCTAGATTATTTTAATTACTCTTTTACAAATCTTTTAGGGGGAAATTATTTCAGCCTTTATTATTATTTTGAAAAATCCATTTTGGAAAGTGATATAAATACATAATCTACTATTAATGGAATTCCACTGGTCACAAACTCAAATGCAACTTCTGGATAATTTTAATTGCCAAATGGAATCACTGATAACTCAATATCTGTTCTATGTGAGATTTAGTCAATTTAAGGAGCTAAATCTTACTTGAAATAAGATATATAGGTTGTGAGGAAAAATTATGAATTGTAGCGATTATACAAATCATTCACTTATTAAACAAATTTAAAAGATTTACAAAGTCTTCACACTATGATTGCATTGATTTAACTAGAAAAAAAATAGGTTTGTTTGAAACAGTGTTCAGGTGTTGGAACATGTGTTAATAATAAATGTTAATGCCCTCCTGGATATTATTTTGATGATTGTAGTGGAAATTAAGATTAATAAAATTAATTTAATGAATTTTTAAATAATGTTATGTAATCATTGATTAAGATACCAATAAAAAATAATCTAGAAATGAAATTATTTAGTCATTCTCTTTATTTCTTATAATAGTTTAATTCCAAAAATACATTAAGTTTAGAAGATTGCTAAACCATATTATAATCTTATATAGAAAACACAAATTAAAGATTAGAATAGATAAATTAATATTCAATAAATTTATAATATTAATCTACTGATGATTTTAATTATTCATAAATAGACATTCGTTCTTTAATTAATAAAAATGATTTACACATCGCTCTTAAAAGTACTGTTTTTATGTGGGAAAAAACAATATTTACTTAAGGTTCAGATATTTATTAATTACAAAATCATTTAGGCAACTTTATAAACAATATTATTGAATTATCTATCTTTGCTTTAAATCCAAACGAAAAAATCGATTTTTCAATCGACACTGCGTTTATTAATATTAAAAGTACTAATTTGATTTTAAATCCTTTTAATAACAGGCTATTGTAAGAATAAATTCTACAGAATTCATAATTTTATTATGTCATTTAGTCAATTTACATAAAAAATTATTATGCATTTGATGGTTACTACCCATATCCTGATTAAATATATCCACTATATGATTATTAAATTCGGCTTTAGAAGAGAAAATAAAACTTTTTTTATAATCACTCAATACTTTATAATTTTGGTGAATTAAATGATACTAGTAATCTAGTATGTTTACAGAGAGATTGGTAAAGTTATGAATGGTCAAATTTTAAATGTGAATTAAACTTTATAAATTAAAGTTATTTTTGCAATTGTAGTATGTTGGCTCCTACAACAATTTGTAATGATAAAAGATACTTATATGACAGCAGAAATTATTTTTAACTTAATATTCCTAATCTTCTTTACATTATTTACTTTATTTAATTATTTTTATTATTATATTTTTCTTTTAAACAGACTTAATATAATAAAATTAATTAAAATTAACAAAATAAATTTGGACATGTATTCAAATTATAAAAAAGCAATAAACCTCAAATTCTTGCTAATTAGATCTAATATGATAGTTTGGAGAATAGGAAAAATTAAGAATAAAATTTTATAGTTGATACGAAAGAGCAGCAATCTCAAGCGAAATTTCATTTTAACAATTTTTGGGTAATTTAAAAATCATAATTTAGAAATATCATTTCTTAACTTCTTTGTAATATAATTAAAAGCCTTATTTAAGTATTTTAATAAAAAGTTGTTTAATCCTTCTTAGATGGAATTAAGCAATAATTATTGGAGAAATATTTACCTTGTTAGATTACAAATATTAAATTTTAATGTGGATTGAACTAGGATCGTTTATATTAAGCAGAATTAGCGAATATATATTTAAAGTATGGTCTAAAATTTTTATAATAGATCTAATCTAAATATTTATTATTTATGTAATAAAAGTTACTTTTATTCCTTATATAAATTAGCTTAGCTTTAATATTGATTTTGTCTTATCTCTTTGGCCTATATGTATACTTTATGATAAAAAATTAAACAAGTTTAGTAAATATAATCATAATTTAGATCGTTTCTTATACATTTGCTGCTTTAATAGACTTTTTATTTTTAGATCTTATAATGTTCAGCGCAAATAGATATTTAGGAGAAAAAAAGAAGAAAATGATAAGAAAAAAAATCAAAGAGTTTCACCAGATTACACAATCAAGGAAAGAAAATTGATTTTTTTTAATTTTCTATTTATTTCATAAAAATTCACTAATTTTAATAAATCAACTAGAGAGGTATGAGTGACGAAAAACCTAGCTGTGTATTGGCAAAAAGATAAACTGGGGAATTTTTTGGTTAAACTATGATGTAATAGAAATCTTAATTTACTTGCCAATATTTAGAGATAATATTTTACAACACTTATCTTTTGAGAGAGAGATGATTAAATAATAAAGAATTCTAAAGAATAGAAAGAGAGATCAATAGAAAAAAATTAATAAAGCATGAAAAGGGTTAGAAAATTTTATAGACTCAGATAAAATTAATTATTAAAAGTAATATTGATAAAGGTTTCATAAAGAGATTGTAATAAATATCAAATTAATCCCTTAGCTCAAGAAAAAGAAGAATGTAAGAAGTGAAACTGAAATAGTATGTATAATGCTTAGCATAGAATTTTTTGATAAAGAAAATATCGTAACTTAAATTATATTTTATTGATAGAGAATAAATGAATATAAAATATTTCTAGACTCCATTTGATAGAGGGCGCAAATCTGAAATGTTGAAGATAATAGATAACTCTTTGGTATACATAAAGATGTATTCATGATATTTTCAAAAAGTGCAAATGAATTAATTGAACAAGCTTGTAAAAGTTGTCAAAGAATGTTAAATTTTCTACTAAATATCTATATAAATGATCCTTAATTATCTATTTCAATTATTTAACTTAATTAAACCATCGAAATAAATAATAATTTAAACTAATTTTATTTTATTTTCAAGGTTTATTTTTGTTTTTAGCTTTTTTTATTTATCAAATTTTAGTTTACATTAAAATATCTTATTTTTAAGAAAACTAGTATTATAATACACCCTAAAATTTTCTATATATTTTAATTCTCCCTTCCTATCTTATCTACGAGCCTAAATTAATAAGAATATCCTTTGTTAATTGTAGGAAACCTTCATTCTTTCTAATTACTTAATAGATCAAAGATATGAATTCATATAATTGTGCGCACTTTTAAAAATATTTTAGGCAAAATTTATCATTTTTATAAATTGGTATGTATTTTATCAAAAAATAACTAATTGAAACAATTTATTAAAGAAAAATGAAAAATGATAATACAAAAATTAATTTTTTTCATATAATTTGCTTTACTTAATAATAAAATTTATAATTTTCAATCAATCATTATTTTTTTAAATAGATGTAAGCTATTTGAGATTTTTTACCTTTTTTCTTATATTTTTCTTTTTATTTTCCCCTAAAAATCTATTTGCACTAAAAATAACAATATCTATAAGAAGGACATCATTTAATATTGCCCCACTATATGAAATAATCTAGAATAATTATGATAAATTACTAAATTAGTTTAGTTGGCTATCATAAAATAAAAATATAGTTCACATAGGACTGTGAATATTAAAAGCAACAATACAAAGATTTTAAGCAATGTAAGAAGAACTTGGTGTCTCATTATAAAAAAATACTTCATTCGATTCTAAAAATAGAACAATTCATACTTTGATGAAATTTTCGCTAAACCTTAAGATGACAATCGATGCAAGAATTATCCAAATGGACACTTAGTATTCAAATTATGATAAACATAACACTTCTCCAATGATTAATGCAGAATTCCATCTCAATATTATTAAAAGACATCTCATTAATGGGCTAATATAAGATAATTATTTAAACATCAACTATGTTAAAAAATGATATTTCTAAATATAAAAAAAAAAATAATTACCCAAAAATAATTAAAATGAAACTTATCAATTTGTTATTCATTATTGTTAATTGATCGCGTTGTTATTAATACTCGAGTATCATATTCTTGTTCAATCGGATAAACTTAATTACCAATAATACTCACTTAATTATGTTTAATTAATTAAAAAACATGACCAAACTTAATATTGCGATTTGATTATTCGTTACCTTATATCTTTGCTTTACTCAAAAATATTGCTATAATTATTAATTAAACAATATAAATAATGTAAAAGATATTAGGAAGATTTAGCTTGAAATCTTGTCTACCTTAATAAATATAATCGTAGTCATTACAAATTGTTGTAGGAGAAAGAGTAGTGCAATTACAAAAGTAGGTTGAATTTATGGAAGAAATAGTGCAATTATTATTAGACCATTCATAAGTCTTAGAATTTCTTTATAAACAAACTAAATTTGTTGTATCATTTTAAATGCCAAATCTATAAGAAATTTGCTAATCTAATTCTAAATTTTATTTTCGATTTGATTATCTAATATAAAAGCTATATAATGGATAAATTTATTGTGGATATGGAAAATATCCATCAAAAGCATAATAGTTTCTAATATAGATTGCTTAAACGATATCATAGCTTGTTGAATAATTATTGGGGATTTCTTCCAAAATTCTTTTTGAAACTTAAGGGATAGTTTTGGAATTATAAATAATTATGGATGCAGTATCGATTGAAAAATCGATTTTTTCGTTTGGATTTAAAGCAAAGATAGATAATTCAATAATATTGTTTATAAAGTTGCCTAAATGATTTTGTAATTAATAAATATCTGAACCTTAAGTAAATATTGTTTTTTCCCACATAAAAACAGTACTTTTAAGAGCGATGTGTAAATCATTTTTATTAATTAAAGAACGAATGTCTATTTATGAATAATTAAAATCATCAGTAGATTAATATTATAAATTTATTGAATATTAATTTATCTATTCTAATCTTTAATTTGTGTTTTCTATATAAGATTATAATATGGTTTAGCAATCTTCTAAACTTAATGTATTTTTGGAATTAAACTATTATAAGAAATAAAGAGAATGACTAAATAATTTCATTTCTAGATTATTTTTTATTGGTATCTTAATCAATGATTACATAACATTATTTAAAAATTCATTAAATTAATTTTATTAATCTTAATTTCCACTACAATCATCAAAATAATATCCAGGAGGGCATTAACATTTATTATTAACACATGTTCCAACACCTGAACACTGTTTCAAACAAACCTATTTTTTTTCTAGTTAAATCAATGCAATCATAGTGTGAAGACTTTGTAAATCTTTTAAATTTGTTTAATAAGTGAATGATTTGTATAATCGCTACAATTCATAATTTTTCCTCACAACCTATATATCTTATTTCAAGTAAGATTTAGCTCCTTAAATTGACTAAATCTCACATAGAACAGATATTGAGTTATCAGTGATTCCATTTGGCAATTAAAATTATCCAGAAGTTGCATTTGAGTTTGTGACCAGTGGAATTCCATTAATAGTAGATTATGTATTTATATCACTTTCCAAAATGGATTTTTCAAAATAATAATAAAGGCTGAAATAATTTCCCCCTAAAAGATTTGTAAAAGAGTAATTAAAATAATCTAGAGATTCTCCTATTAAAGGCTCTATTTTTAGGCTTCCATCTTTAGGTGGATCATTCAATTTGAAAACGATTGATTCATTTCCTGGTATCAAATAAATGTAAACTGGACTTTTATAATCAGTTGTAAAACCAGCTAATCTAAATTTAAAGGACAAGCTTGTTATTTTGATAGATTCCAAAATTTTGTGTTTTTAGATTATAAATGCATATTGTTATTATTTTTTTATTAAAATCGTCACTTCATCATTTGCATTAATATAATTTTTAGGATCATCATTATTGANATTGAAAAATCGATTTTTTCGTTTGGATTTAAAGCAAAGATAGATAATTCAATAATATTGTTTATAAAGTTGCCTAAATGATTTTGTAATTAATAAATATCTGAACCTTAAGTAAATATTGTTTTTTCCCACATAAAAACAGTACTTTTAAGAGCGATGTGTAAATCATTTTTATTAATTAAAGAACGAATGTCTATTTATGAATAATTAAAATCATCAGTAGATTAATATTATAAATTTATTGAATATTAATTTATCTATTCTAATCTTTAATTTGTGTTTTCTATATAAGATTATAATATGGTTTAGCAATCTTCTAAACTTAATGTATTTTTGGAATTAAACTATTATAAGAAATAAAGAGAATGACTAAATAATTTCATTTCTAGATTATTTTTTATTGGTATCTTAATCAATGATTACATAACATTATTTAAAAATTCATTAAATTAATTTTATTAATCTTAATTTCCACTACAATCATCAAAATAATATCCAGGAGGGCATTAACATTTATTATTAACACATGTTCCAACACCTGAACACTGTTTCAAACAAACCTATTTTTTTTCTAGTTAAATCAATGCAATCATAGTGTGAAGACTTTGTAAATCTTTTAAATTTGTTTAATAAGTGAATGATTTGTATAATCGCTACAATTCATAATTTTTCCTCACAACCTATATATCTTATTTCAAGTAAGATTTAGCTCCTTAAATTGACTAAATCTCACATAGAACAGATATTGAGTTATCAGTGATTCCATTTGGCAATTAAAATTATCCAGAAGTTGCATTTGAGTTTGTGACCAGTGGAATTCCATTAATAGTAGATTATGTATTTATATCACTTTCCAAAATGGATTTTTCAAAATAATAATAAAGGCTGAAATAATTTCCCCCTAAAAGATTTGTAAAAGAGTAATTAAAATAATCTAGAGATTCTCCTATTAAAGGCTCTATTTTTAGGCTTCCATCTTTAGGTGGATCATTCAATTTGAAAACGATTGATTCATTTCCTGGTATCAAATAAATGTAAACTGGACTTTTATAATCAGTTGTAAAACCAGCTAATCTAAATTTAAAGGACAAGCTTGTTATTTTGATAGATTCCAAAATTTTGTGTTTTTAGATTATAAATGCATATTGTTATTATTTTTTTATTAAAATCGTCACTTCATCATTTGCATTAATATAATTTTTAGGATCATCATTATTGATAGTAAATTCTTCCTCAATATTAAAGTCTGTAATGATTATCAATTATTCTTTGACTGTCCATCTATTACCTTTAGATGCTTTTGCGAAAAATACGAAAGTTGTATTTTAACTATCAGCAAAGATATTGACAATTCTTCTAGATGGAAATTGCATAATTTGATTTTCATCTGTTTTGCAAGGTTATAAATTATGTAAGTTATTGCATAACCATTCATAATTGATTTCTTTTGTGCTTAAAATTTCATCTTAGATGTTTCTATCAAAGCCTCTTGCATTAATTTAATTATCCAAACCAATAAACCTATTTTTTTATAAAAAATTTATTTCTATTTCTTTCGATTTTAAATAAAAAACTTCTTTTATTATCGAACTTCCAGTTGATGCCATAAATTTTAAAGGAGTCTCTTTAGGAAGGAGAGACTCGTTTAAAGGAATGTCATAAAGTGGATTTATTTCTTAAGTTAATTATAGATATGATTCATTCTTATTTCCTAATATCTCTATAAAAACATTAAATTTCTTTTTCAAATCTGAGTAAGAGACATGGCAATCAAATACATAAACTCTTGCCATTAGAGGTTCAAAACTTAAAAATACATAAGGAGCTTGTATTGGGAGAGTTGTAAATGAAAATGTTGTGAAATTAACTCTTTACAAGAAATTAATATACTTTGCTGTGATTGTATATGTAACATTTGTTGATAAGGTACCTATAGGAATAGTAATCTCATTTTATTGATTAGCTAAGAATGCATCCATTTGTAGAAATTATTCCTCATTTTCCATTTCTTTAAGGGTCCAAGATAGAATAGTCTAAAGTTTTTAACCAGTACCATCTAATAAGATTTATTTAATAAATATTGTTTTGCATGTGCTAACAAATGAAGGAACATCAAAAAGAATATAAGGTTTAGAGAAGCTTTAAGGTTCTTTCACTTTATTTTCAATAAATTATTCAATAAACAGTTCATCACAAATCCCTTAATCTACGTCTCTATAAAAAGAACTCTTAAAATTTAACTAATCTCCTATTTTAATAGATGCATAAGGTTATAATATAATGTGTACGGCATATCTATTCCAAGATAAATAACATTAAGCATTTTTACCAAAAATTTCTGAATTATCAAACCAAGAAGAACAATTTGAAGGTTAAAATGGATTTATCAAATTAACAGAAATCAAATAACCAAAATTTACTATTATTTGATTTAGATCATCAGAATAATAAATATTGACTTTAGCTACTTGACAAGTAATGCACCAATCATCATTGAGAACTCTATCACAATTACATTTTGGAACTTAAAGATTATTTTTACATATAAGACAGTTATCACTTGAAGTACATTCATCACAAGGACATTTTTTACAATCATCTTAGAATTCATCATCATAGTATCCTTTTGGACAAGAACAATCTTCAGCATTTCTATTGAACCCTCTACATTTAATGCAATCAGTCGCATTTGAGCATGTTTAACACTTATGTATACATTAATAACAAGAATTATCTTATTTGTAATATCCATCTTTACAATTGCCTATACAAAATCCATCTTCAGTCAATATAAAACTGCTTGCACACTTGATGCAATTATTATTTCCTTTTCCAGTGCACTAATCACATTCTATCGAACATTTTAAACAGTTTTTTTTACTTAAATACTATTAAGGTCCACAATTATTCACACATTTATAATTATCCATATCGTTAAAATATTAAGAGGGGCATTCAAAAAGACAAGAATTTTAAAATATAAATGTAGTGACAGGACATTTTGTTGAACATTCGTTAAGTATAGGATTTGAAAAAAATGAGACAGGACATTAATCTAAACATTATTCATTATGTAAAAAGTATCCTATAGTACATTTGGTACATTCGGAAGAATTAATACAATTTACACATTATTAGGGACACTTCTAGCATTTATAGTCTATAGTGCCATAATACCCATTATTACAATTTAAGACACATTCGTTTATAAATTCATATGTGTTATTTGGGCAAGTTTCATAACAAACATTCTTATATAAAAAATTGTTGCAAACATTGACGCATGATTTTGATTTTAAATCTTTTATTTTAGTACATTAAGTATCACATTGATTGAATTCAAGAAAGAAATTTTCATTACATTCTGTGCAAATTTCAAAACTTGAACAAGCTTTGCATTCTAATCGGCATGGTTTACAATAATCATTACTATAATACCCAATAGGACATGCTTAGAGGCATTGCTTTTAGTGTATAATCAAATCACATTCCTTAACACACTCATATCCTTTTTCATAAGATTCAGGTGGACAACTCGAAACACACAAGCCGTTAACGAAATCTTGAAATCGTAATTATAGTGGACATTGCACAACGCAAGAACCACTAAATAAAAAATATGGGTTTTCGCATTTTGAGCATTCATATTCACTCTTACAAATTAAACATCTTTCAGAACATGAAACGCATGCATTATTTACTTAAACTGTTAGAGTTGGACATACCAAAAGACAATCATTTTTATACTAATAAGTACTCACTGGGCATTCTGAATAACAATGATCTATATATACAAAAGTATCTTTTGGACATAATTAAGCACATTGATTATTTACTTCATTGTAATAATATGGGCAATATTTACTACATAAACCATCATTTAAAAATGTACCAGAACCACATATTGTGCATCCAAAAGAATTGCATTCTTGACAATTTTCAGAACAATCAAAACATTTTTAATTCAAAG